TAACTTGGGTTCCGTGGTGTTTATTTGCGGAAAAACGACAGCCCGGACGAGGTTTACGAGAGGACAAAATATCTAATGAATCCACGATACCATTCAGTCAATGCGATCTGTTTCCAAGGCAGTAGCAGACAGCCAGAAATGGTCTACCCTAGAGAGAACAGAAATTGAGAGATTCCCACAGAAAGAGTTAACTAACCGCCACTGTCGAGAATCTGTGTATATTTCATGCTGCGTGCAAGAAATGAAGACCAGGCGTCTGGACGAAACAGTCGCCTAGACTCGTCTCGACTGAGCGTATATGGGACATGAAATAGGTGCAGGAAGGGGACAACAACGGAAAACTCCACAAGTGACTAAAAGACGTCCAGCCATGGGTTAAAGTCTTTCCCGAACTTATGCACTAACTGGGCTGTATCCTGTCCGCTCATCTGGACTGTGTCAACCTCGGCATACAAGGCTTGCTGTGGAAACTGGTTCGGGAATATATTCAACACATTGGCATGTTAGTGTTGAACAGAAAATGCCCCCCCCTGAACGCAAGCGAAGCCCTGCAGATCTAAACAACGAGCACGGATTACAATTCTCCGGTCGTTCCAAACCATAGTAATCCTCGGCTAACCGAACAGACGCCTGACGGCGAGTCTCGGACATGTGAATCCGTAGGTTGTGCAATGATTTACCGTACTAACAACACAGGTATCAGCTAAAAGCCCAGACAGGCGTGTTTCGTCGATCTTCTGCCGCTGCCTGACGCAGCTGCGAGGGGTTCGGCTAACCAGTGGGTGCCCCAGCTTTCCCCGTATGCTTTCTGGTATATGAACTCCAGTTTCAACTTGACTTGTTTAATTTCCTCGGAAATTAAACACAGAAAACTTACGGACTCCAGAAGCTTCAGAAAAACATACAAGGCTGCCTATACGAGGAATGATATTTCGCGGGCATAATTTCACCGGTTTCAAAAGCATTCGCCTTTTAACACAGATCCAATAGTATGGGTTTGCGTGGAATGAAGCATGTGCCAATATAGTTATTTCTAGTAGCGTGTCTGGTCTTCAAGTGGTCTGAAGAATGGCTAAATGCAACGATAACATTTAAGGGACTAAAATATGGACTATGTGAAGTCGAAAAGGTAAGCGTGTTGGCAAATGTGAAGGGAGTTTTATTAAATGAAGGAGGACAGAGCAGGGACAATGCGGCACAGCTCAGCATCACTTCACTCATAGCCCGCCACAGCCTCGGCAATTTGCCAGTCCGTCTCCAACTTCTGGTCTTCGGACACCTCCACGCCATCCTTGGTCACATGGGCAAGCTTGTAGACACCGTATGCCCTAAGGGGAAATAGAAAGGGTCGGAATGAACCGCGGAAGGCAAATGCATGTGTGAAAGTGCGGCAAACATTGAGGGCGAGATAATTAGGACACTCGATTGTCGCAAAGTCCCACAGGCTCTGTAATCAATACAGGAACAGTTAAATGACTTGTGCAACCAAAATAATATCTAGGAGGAATAGACAGTAATTCCTCCAACCGATGGGCCTGAAGCTTTCGGACACAGTGAGCAAAAGTAGCCTAGTGGATTCTCCTCTGTAATGCACGGCATTTTTTACCCTGGTGAACAGTGCTTTGTAAGTAGTTGTCAGACTCCTGTGTGTTATTTTTTACAAACCTCTTCTGCATCCAGGTAGGCTCTGGGTGGAATTTACGAGAAGCAGACCGACTGAAGTCGTAAAACATGCTGACAATGAGAAGCTTAAAGTCCTCATCGTTCGGCAAGCATGGCGAATTTGGCGCCACAAGAAAAAACGTCCCCGCTCGCAGTCATTCCAAAAACTGGCGTCAACTAATATCTCTCATTCTTTCTCGATGAACGGTTGTCTAGGAAAAAAATTGCTAAGGCTCTGTTTATGCCTACTATGCGGACCCATGAGCCAGGTCTACTCCCGTTTGTCAGGAACTAGTACAGCAACAAGCATCCTGATCCCCTGAACAGCACGGCCCGGAGGCTTGTCTGTACCTCCGGACGACTGCAAGGTAGTACTAATACAAAGCAGTGTCCTTGCTGACATTTCGATCGTATCAAACCACCGACCCAAGAACACGAGATCTACGCAGATGGTTAGGACTGCTCTTCCCCCATCCTCCTTAAGCTTACTCGGAAAGCTTTAAGCGACTCAAACCTCTCCTAAATGGTAGTTGCTAAAAGCATCACATGGTGTTGCAGTGGGAAGGGGGAGTGGGGTAACCGTTATTCAGTAGTTTTTTCAAGCTGCAACTTCGTACGAATCAGGTGGCCAGGGAGGTGGGACTAGAACACGAAAATCAGAAGGATCAAGGGCGCTTTATTGCGGCGGTTTGTGCGTAGTGAAATCGATGTACCAACATTTTGCTGCTGAGCAATAGCAACAAATTTCTCTGACAAAGGCAGTGCATCTAGGGGGTCATTTCCGGCTTGTTTACCATCATCAACTAACGATGATCAAACTCCAGGCTGCAAACGAGCCAAACGATTACTGGAAAACGTTCTTATCGTGTCACGACAAGCTCATGGTGTGCTGGATGAGATCATGAATATGCAACCACGCATAAGGGGGGGTTTACCGATCGATCTTGATAACAGGATGGGAGTAGATATTTTTGTGTTGCCAATTATTACCAGGGCGCCAGGTTAGCATTGTTTCGTTAATTCATGACAAGCAACATGCATGCACAGATCCTTCATACCTTACGGTGAGCGATTAGTCCTGCCCTTCTCAGAAGGGTAATATCGACTACCTTCTTCTAATTGAATGCAAAAACAAAGGCGTAACTGGACAGTCTGACTTTGCCAACTCAATAAAGTAGTATACACCAAAGTTTTCTCGTGTACGTAAACAGAGGGTAGGCTCGGTCAAAAGCGCGAACTGGGTCCGGGTGTCGGCTATTTTGCAGTTCTCGAATCGGGTGTCAGATGGCAAGACGGTGCCAATCTACGGGCTTTGTCCAACAAAATGGTGCTAGCCTAACGAAAATGCGTCGCGGGTCATGCGGGACCAATACTCTGAGGTGTGACTGGACGCGATCTGGTAGGTCAGTCGCCTGAAAAACGTCAGAAGTAACAGTGGCATTATGGCATGGTGAATGTTTCCGTCATCCTGTAGGGCTTTCTCAACAACCGCACCATACGGAATACGGTCCAAACCATCGGTTCTCAGAACGATATTTCTGCGAATCCTCATGATCGTTCGTAACTTGTTAACTCTAAGGTCGACTTAACTAATACTGATGCTGGACGAAATAAGTGCGCGCACTTAAAAGTGATGTTGACATTCTAGCTCAGGTTTAGACTACAGGGAGATGCGGAACAGTAGAGGGTAAATTATGATTTTTTTGGCTGAGCTGCTTTGGTGCACCGAGTTGGTCCCGAAAGCTGATGTTCGGTTTTTAAATGCGCCTAGCTTTTATGAATATTATTCATCCTAGCTCAGGCAACAGTGCGTGGGTGGAGTCCCGAAAAGGTTGTCTTTCCCATCCGTCTTCTTTTGCTGTGCGATGTACGCGGCTCCTGGGAACATTAGACCACTATAATGGCATTCAGGGAGGGTAAAGCCCCTTCGGTTATACTGCAGCATTGTTTTGCTCGGAAAACCCTCTGCGAAACGCAATTCGTCCTTTATTGGTGACATCCAAACCAAAAAATCTGGCTGCATGCGCTGCACCTATTCAGCAGGGGACGGCTGAAGTTTCATCAAGAAAGGAAGCAAAGTCACAAAAGGCTATTTCTGAAAAAAATGAAGTTGGTTTGCATATTCAAAATGTAGCCTAGAACTGGCATGGTGACAGTTAATAAGAAAAAAAAGGTGCGAGAGATGCAGACAGCACGATCAAGACCCGACACGTGAGTAATTAAAACAGCCGTAAGACATAAGGGGAAACCTTAAAGCCTCTTTATAAAAAAAGCCAGTCGTGCGTCGACTGCACCGGTAACTGACCTGCAATCACGATAGTAAAGCATCATTAGGCTCTCTTTGATTGCCATCAAAGCATCTTCGTAGGACAGCTGATCTGGGTCGCCATTTGCCTTGGTATCAAGGAATCTTCGTAGAGTCGGAGCCACGAGATAAGCGCCAAATCCGGTTGCCACACAGTTTTCAGTAAACGCTTGATGAAACGATTGAGGCTTTAGAACGTTTTTGATGATAAAATCAAGTCAAAAACTGTGATGTTTTCCTGGCCCACAAGTCTAAGATCAGTCGTCCGTGAAGGGAGTGGGAAGGGCTCCTGCCGTTCACTTCAGGTGACTCTTGCAACAGCCCGACATTTTCTAGAACTTATGACTAGTATCTCAGGTGGTATAAAGCATATTCTTAATTCGTAAGTCTAGAATGGCTAGCTAGATAACGCGGACCAAGAAAACATTTGCAAATGCTTTCGATTTGGCAGGAAGTATCATGATGCACAAGTTACTTAAAAGGGCCTAGACGACCACATTAAGACTAGTCCCCCTTTAGTCTTTCCCAGCCAGTATCTCGACCTGTGCAAACTGCGCTGATGAAGACAAGCATCAAATAAATCGACTTGGTTACTATGCGAAAGATCAAAGCTAGAAGGCTAAAACCGTCAAGTAAAGTACCGATTGCCAAAGGATTTAAAATAATCACCGCAAGAGAATTTGCTCGCTGAATAGAAAACAAAAAGCTCTTCAGAAGGAATCACACCCATTAAGAATGAACCTACAAACGCCGAGCATGTTGCTGTAGCCGAGGAACGGTTTGTTATCGCTAGAAACGCCCCCAACGAGATAAGTATTCCATAGAGGGTTAAACTGTGAACGGCGATTGTACATAACACGTGTAATCCACGAATGAAGAGCTTGGGGACTAAAAGAAGAAATAAGGACAGAAATCCGTGCGAACCTGGTCGTGAATCCATCGTTAAGTAAATTGTCCAGAAGTGTTTGCTGCTGAATGTGCCGAAGTAAGAGCTGGAAATCAGCTATGTCGCCAGAACAACCTAAAATGGTTTTATCATTAACCTTTCTCGGGCTTTAGTATTATAACAGTTTACCTTTGCGACACGGTCGAAATTGGTGTACCGGGCAAGCGAGCCATACGACACGAGTACGTCTGCGGCAATTATAACCCCGTCTTTGTACTTTATACCAATGACCGACGCCCCGCTAGCAGATGGTGACAACGTATGTTTCTTAGAATCAGCCGAAGGCTTGAATTCAATGTTATTCGTCAAAAGCTGATTCATGTTGACGAAGCGACTTCAAATGGCCGCGCTGACAATCTGCCAATCACGTTGGACTTAATAGTTAGTCAGTTAACATTCTGAGTCACATTATCCCATAAAGGTCGATTAAGAATTAGCACATGTCGCTGAGGGGAACTGTGGTCTTAAGCTAAGCCCTCTATTCATCAAGAACCAAATGGCCAGGGTATAACCTATTAGGTGGAATTGACGACAAAATAAATGGCGACGAAGCGCAAACGGGGTGACGTATTCGGATGACTAGTTCGGAGTCCCCTGGAGGGAATCGGGTGTTCGTGGTCTCCTGAATCATCTACCATAGTCGCAAAAAGTCAAAGGCAAGCTCGAAACTTGTTAGCCGCAATCCGCAACGGGAGGATCCAGGATTCTAGCCACTAATTTCCCGTCTTTTTCGGAGTTACGAAAAAAGGATGCAAACAGTTAGAAAAAACGTATGCCGCGACAGTGGACCAACAGTTTAAGCGGCAGATAGCTTTAGGAAGGTACACACTAAGTAAAATGGCAGCGCGGAGAAAGATTGCAGGGTTAAGTGTTTAAAGCGGGCACAGTAAGTGGGTCGCAGTCCTTCGAAGTCGTAAATATCTACCTACCACCATGGACGGACCCCGACGCAGATAATTGTCTGCTTGAAAGCATTAAAAAGATCGGCAGTCGACCGGAGTTGTACTCAAGGGGAACTTTTATACACCCTGCATTTAATGGAGCGACGTGCATGCGAAGTGCTCGAAGTATACCTTCGATTACCGTCTCCTAAATGCAACACTAGAAGCTCTCCTCACACATCATGTTCCATTTCCAAACAGAAGGCTTGGAAGGCAACAGATTAGTTGCTTGTATGTCGTCTTTTCCAAAGACACTGACAGTATAGACGGGGTGAACTGCTTGCCTACGCTCGGTCGATGTGGTCATGCAGTGCTTCTAAGGGTTTACGAACTATATTCTGCACAGTGCCCATTAACTCAGACTAAGATAACTATATGGCAAGGGGACTGTTGTTAAATAAGAGCTGAGGCATCACGAATAAAGTGGTATGTCCTCTTCTCAGGGAGCGTCAATGAGAACGGCAATTTATTAAAGGACCAGTTATTTCATCCGATGAAGAACCACTGTCCCTTATCAAAGCCTGGAACACCCAGCCGACAATAATAATAATAATAATAATTTTTATTAAAGACCTGTCGGGGTCCTATCAAAGCAAGTAAAAATAGATTTACATGCGAATTTTAGACGAGGTAGGCAAAATCTGTACAAAATGCAATTCATAGTTTCTGAATTAGTAGCCCGTTAAGAAAAATGATTAGCGAGAGGTGAAAAAAAACTACTTAAAAATTTAGAAATGATCGGATTAATTTTACAGTGGTTAATACAAAATCTCAAAATGGAGATCACCAAGAGACGAAGGCTTTGGAGGAAGTTTCGCAAAGGCAACAATAACGCGGCCTTTACAAAGAAACGATGTGAAAGGGTTAATTTTCAAGAGACGACGAGTCATTTGCTCAACCGACTCGTTTAAAATCCAAACTGATCTTCAGCCATTTGCGTATAAGCACCCGTAACAAGAATCCGATTCCTGTTTTGAGAAATGATGACGGTTTCGACATATCAGACAATAAAAACAAAGTCAAGCATTCTTCTTAGTTCCTTCAATCTGTTTTCACAAGGGAATCATTTTTCATTCTGCCCACTTCTGCGAGCATGATAGATCCGATTATCGAAAATACTGCATTTCTAGGAAAACGATTTTCAAAAAACTAAAAAGCTTGAAGGAATGTTAATCTCTCGGCTCGGACGAGATCACCGCAAAAGTGCCTCTGAACTTGCCCGAGGGTTGGACAAAGCACTATGGTTTCTCTGCCAGTCATCGTTTAATGCTGTAATCCATCCCGCAGACTGGAAGTAAAACCACGTTGCTCTGCTTTACAAAAGTGATAGTCATGCTCTTGCGACGAACGACAGACCCTTCAGTCTGACGTCCATCTGCTGCAAAGTCATGAGGAATATCACCAAAATAGAGTTGATGGCTTATTTGGGAACCCACAACTTTTTGTCTAGTGCACAATAGGATTTCGTATGGGAAAATCGTGTGAAACGAACTTGCTTTATGCAACGCCAACCTAGACAAGGGCACTCGATCCAGAACAAACTGTCAATGTAGCATACATCGATTTCCAGAAAGTGTTCGATAGTGTTCTGCACCAGCTTCTCCTTTACTAGTTGAGAGTGATGGGCTTCGGCGGGAAAATTCTTAAATGGATCGAAAAATTTCCTCGCCGGCCGTTTCCAAATTGTCGGAGAGGAGCAACAACGATCAAGGCGCACAGTTATAGAGAGTAAAGTCCCACAAGGCCCAGCTTTCGGAGAAACTCACCTTCTCTTGTTTATGAAGGACTGTGTACAGGAGCTAGACTGTGATAGTGCCAGGTTCAAAGATGATATAAGAACCTAGAAAGTCATCCACTATGCTGCCGACGAGACCAACTTTCGAGACAATCTTTGTCGATTGGACGAGTGGTCTCGCGGATGGCTCCCATCCTTCAATTTTGACAAAGGCACAATGCTGCTGCTCAGGAATCGAAATCATATCTATAATACACGGCAATATCGTCTAAGCAGGATGCCTCTCCGAGAAACAGAAACCCAGAATGACTTCCGAATCCGGTTTGCAGGCATTCTAAAGCCTTCTACGCAATGTTGTAAGGCAGCTTAATCCGCAACATCAATGCTGTATGCTATCAGACGGACATTCCGTCTTCGATGAAGAATGCTTCTCCAAATTATTTGGCACATTTGCAAGGCCGCAGCTTGAATATGCGATGCAGGCCTGGAGGCTATGAACGCGGCGGGATTATAAGCTAATTGAAAGAGCGCAGATGTGAGCCACAAAACTAGTAAGATGTCGAAGTGCACTGCCTTACGGTACCCGCCTGACTAATCTTAATATCCGTCCTCTAAGTTATAGGCAGCTGATCGGAGACTTGATAAAACTTTCTGTACCGTGTGTGGCTTGGATCGCGCCCTCCGGTGTGACGACTTTTGCCAACTCGCAACTGTAAATAACCTCCGTGGACATCCCTTCAAAGGTCAAGGCGCGCAGCTCAACTTCGAAGATAAATGAAGCTTCGCCTTTACTTTGATATTCCTAGGCAAATACTGCCTATGTTTATTCTGATCCTTTTTAGGAGTTGCTTCTAATTTCCGGGTATAATTTCTTCCAGTCTTGTTAGACAATCTGGTAAAGTATCCGTATTTTGTGAAGCGCCTTTTAGTGACTCCGTGTGAGATCGTCTCTGTTTGGTTTTTGTAGTAAATTAACATTAGCATTTGTTAGTCCATGCGTTTTGTTGTACGTCGGCAACGTTTTGATCCTTGTACAGCAACAAAAACCTATCTAGTACCTTGTGAGGTCTCGAAGAAGGCGTGCAGGAAGACGAAAGCTCGCGGCTTCCACACCGTTTCTAGTGCTTAAATCGTGGCCGGAGACATAGCGGGTGGCACCATGTGTTAGCTACCTTCTCTGGATATGGTTAGCTCAAAAATCCCTAAAGTCCAAAGAGAACCTGTTGACCCCTAATCGTCGAAAACTACGCCTCTGCTAGTCAAGGTCAAGCCGCTGGTTTTAAATTTGAAGATAAGTGGAGGATATTATTTAAGTGGTTTTTCTGTGAAACCTAACGATTTTAGCCCCTGTTTTTTGGTTGAATTTCCTTAAATACAGGCCTCTTCTCTCAGAACTGCCTACTGCCATCTCCTTTTGAGTTGTGCTAGTCTATGCCCGTTGTTCACTAATCGCACTCTGCAATTCTCATTTTCTGCATCCGATTTCTCTCTAAATGTTATAATTTATTTTTACATAGTTAGCCTCTAGCTAAAATTCAGACAACTTGTCTGCCAGAAGTTTTCTTAATTACAACTTGCCTCGAGACAAGATGAGACCAAAAGTCACTGGTCGGCGTAAGCACTCGGCATCTGTAAGTAAGCATGGCCTAACTAAACGTAAGTCAGACGCTTTACCTAAATCTAAGTCAGATGATATTACTAGTCAGTCGTCACCCGTTGTAATTGTTCGGTAGCTTAGTCTGTCTGCACTTGACCACTGCAATGGCTTTATGCTAAAGTTTGGAACTTTGCTGACAATTCTTGGAAATTTATTCGACGGGAACATCTCCGATATTCCCTCTGAAGAATGTAGGAGTCTCGACTCACTTGTTCATCTGATCGCCAGTGAATCTAATGATAGACAGAAGCGTTCTTACAACTTTCTGCTAGAAAATGTTCCTCGATCTGCTCGGCCAATTGATGTTGCGACCAATTTCCTGTATTCATGTGGTTTCAACTTAAAAAATAGCCGATGCCAAAAGCTTGTCCTCCCGTAGTACAAATCCACCCATCTTAGTCAAATTGTTTTCATCAATCGAGGTTGACACAATCTTTACTCATCGAGAGCGTGTCACTGCGTACCTAGAGAAGGCAAAATTTTTCCTTTGTCATGATCTTACTCCTATGGAGCGTAGAATCGGGGCTCAATTCTCACGTAAACCCACTGCTTCTCAGTCTAATAGATAGATAGATAATTTTTATTAAAGACCCGTCGGGGTCCCATCAAAGCAAGTTAAAATAAATTTACATGCGAGTTTTAGACGAGGTAGGCCGAATCTTTACAAAATGCAATTCATCGTTTCTGAATTAGAAGTCCATTGAGAAACATGATGATTGAGGGGTGAAAAAAATACTCCTTACAAAAAGTTAAAAATGATTGGATTAATTTTACAGGAGAAAAAAAACCCTCAATAAAAATAATGGCAGAAAAAAGCGAGCAGGACTGGCATGTAGGTGGCGGCATATAACGAAATGTTGTCGGTCATCGTCAGGTTAGCAATAAATATCAGCCTTGATGGGTACGAATGTGGGTCAGATAGGACTGGCTTCATATGGCACTGTATACGGGATTCAAAATTGAGATCGTCTGGGCCGGATTGGTACGC